TTCCTGTTTTGCACTAGCCCATTTAAAACTAGATTAGGCTACAGAGGAGATTCTTCCTTAGCAAGGAGGTGATTAGATTTCTTTATTTGGAGTATTTAATTTCCAGGATGCAAGGGAAATTTCCAGTTTTCTAAAATACCTTCATTTTATTATTAGATTGACTTTTCTAGAGCAAAGGCAACGATTCCACTTTTGTCAATGAAAATAACATTGGCAGTGCTGGTGTATGGATAGGAATCTGGGAAGAAGCAGGGCTTTTTTTCAGCCTAGGTTGGGCAGAAAATGGGTCACTCAACTGTTGTCATTTGTCACTTGACACATCTTGCTGCTTGCTTGGATATGAGCTGTAAGGAAAAAAAAACAACCTCGGAGCTCAGCACTCTTGGCAGTTGGAGGCTCAGGCTGGGTAGGCTTTCAAATGTCTTGTTAGAGCAGGTCCCAAATGAGGACAAGCTGGGCCTTTGCATCCACTGCCCGTTCTTTGGAAGTAATATGTGTGAGGGGAGAATAACAACTTGTGACAGTTCATGCAAATTAAAAAGATCAAATGCCTTTGAAATCCGGTATCTACAGCCTGATCCCAGCACTGGAGCTGGTTGCCACCACTTGTGGTTACGCTGGAACACAGGCCTTCGTGGCAACGAGCTCCTGACAGAAGTAAGCGTCCTCTAATTTTACGCTGATGCAGTAGGGAAACAAACCTGGGTCCCAAGGACTGCAGTCGTAGTGCTCCTTGAAGGCAAAAATTTGTCAGCAGCACAAAACGAGCCTGTTGCAAAACACACTCTATTCACCCAAGTAATAAAAAACTGGTTCTCCTGTTTCCCACCCAGATTTCGGGCTCTGTATGAAGAAATGCCTGTTTTTCCTCACCATCACTGCTTATAGCCCCTGGGTGGCAGAAGGGACACCTGAAAGACTTCTACCCATTTATTAGTCCCTTCCACAAGAGGACCTGTTGTGGCTGCCTTCCCTTTCCCACTCCCACTATGGACGCTTGGAAGAGGTGTTCTAAGCGTAAGATTTTTATGGACAGAGGGTTACTGGCCTTACTAACCTGTTAGGATTTAACAAGCTGCCAAAAACGTTTGCGTTAAAGCTAAACAGTATAGACAACATAATTTAAAAAATAGGCAAGTGCTTAAGGTTGGTCTACATGTAATATGCCAGAGCAATATCCCTTGTGAGGGCAAAACCTTTTTTCTGGAAAAAGTAGCATGCAAATAATAACAGGAAAGTTTTCTCTCCTAGGACACTGGCAAGGTGCCTTTAACCTGATGTCTCCAAAAGCAGAATTTGCCTTCTCTGCTTGGTGCATTGACACAGATGTGAGATTAAGGGTTCTGAGAAGTCAAACTGCATCAAAGTCCCAGGCAGGTGATAATAGGAAGGAGGAGAGATTAACAAATGGCAGCTGTGTTTTTTCTAACAGACAAAGCGTGCTAGAGACAAATGACCTGTGTGCTGTCTCCTTTTCTTCATTCTCTGGCCTCCTCTTCCGCGATTTACGCAGCCATTGTTTAGGGTCAAAAGGATTCAATGTAAATAATTTAGAATGAAGCAGTCAAGTCATAATGTGGAGAAAGCTAATAATGAGGATTAGCATTTGGGACAGTGGTTGCTGTAGATGTGGTGAGTGAAGCATTGAGCTGGATTATTTGTATCGGTGGTGCTGTGAGAACGTTGAAAGGACCTTTTTGGCAGAGGGGATGGGATAATGGGTGGGTTCATCTTTAATAGTGTAGTTGAGTTCCTAATATTGATTTCAGTCGAGGTTTCTAGGAAGTAGCAAGTATGTATTTGTGGAGAATGAGATGATAAATAAAGCTTGTGCTGAGCTATTCCTGGTTAGTTTGCTTTGGCTGGTGCTTCCTAAGATGGAGACTTCTGTCATGTATCAGTTTCCTTACCATACAGAAAAATGTACAAAGTATGTGTGGGTTTCATGGGATGTTTCTCAGTAATCTGAAAGATCCACAGCTTGCTTGTAGTACAGGAGAAGAGAACCCTGCTTGTGCTTGTATATGATGTATGCAACAAAATAGTATTTATGGAGTTCTGATATGTTTCGGGATCTCCATTATTTAAGAAGGGGTAAAACTACTTAATCGCATGGCTACATCTGTCAACCATTTAAGAGCAAAGAAGGCAAAAAGAGAAACTGTAAAATGTTCAGATCGCTGCTGCCCAGATGTGTTTGGAAGGACTTCCTCACCTTGCAGGTACTCCAGGAACTGAAGCTGAAGAGAGACAGGAAAACAGCCTAACTGCTTAAACAGCCGCTATTATGAAGGTGTAAATCTCCAAGATTGCCCAGGAAATGACCCGATTTGCTGCAGTGAAAACATAGGTTGGCTGTAGGGTGAACATCCAATTTAAGGGTAATGAAACATAAGAATAGGCTGCGGACAGATGTGGAATCTCATCAACAGTTTTCTAAGAATTACTTGGACAGTACTCATTAGGGATGGTCTAATCCCCTGCGTGCCAGGCAGGACCTGGTACAAATACAGGGGATTACGGAAGAAAGAGTTTCAGAGAACCCACTTTTCTATGAGCCCGTCTGGTGTTGGTGAGAAAGGATTTCCACTGAAATCTGTGGACTCTGGATCAGACCCCAAATCTCAGAATTCCCTTGAACTTTAAGATTAAGCATGTGTTTATGAGCTTAGTTTGATAGAGATGTATTAACTGGTTTAAGATCTGAAAAGGTAGTCATATGGTAAGGCATCCCTGCGTGGAAGGAAAACATGAATCAGTGAGATCCCAAGAATCCAATATGGAAATATGCACTGCTGGGTTTTTCTAGGGTTTAAGTGTTTTGGGTGTGTGTTCAGTCACAACCCATCTCACAGTAATCCAACTGTTAGTGCTCTTTCCACTGTGTTATAATAGACTGGCCTATTTTTATTACAGTTTGTGACAGTTTGCAATGTACAGTCTAGTTTAAAAATATAGATATATTGGGAAACAGAACTGTGTAATGAGTCTCTTCCCTGGTCTTCTAGGGCAGTTTGTCTGCAAGCCTTTGTGTCTGACCTAACATGTCGTGTTTCAAAGCCCTGCTTCATTATCATGGCGCCTGCTAGCTGTAGTTAAGGGTCTGTTAGCGGCCCCATTATAAATCGCTACTTCCAGGAGTTTATAATTCAGCAGTAAAAAATTGCTCTAGGCTGAAACTTGGCATATAAAGTCTCAGCGCAGGAACAATTGTGATTTCTCCCTCCTCTATTTTTGCATTTGCTTATACACACACAATTCATTCAGTAGGTTTTTACTGTCCCCTTTCGGCATTTAAAAAGATTAAATGGCTGGTTTATTAATATTTCAAGACTGACTACTGTGCTGGGCCAGTAAATTGATTCACGGTGTCTGTTAACCCAGCCCTTTTTTTGATGGATACAAGTCACTGTTTGACAAACCTGCTGCAAGGCTTCAGCTTAGTGGAAACAGCCCAGCGTGGATCACCGCGACGGCTGATTAAAGCGCGTTTCCCAGCCAGCCGCGGCCGAATCCGGTGTGAAAGCCGGCGCGAGCGCACGGGGCGCGGTGTCCCGATCCAGCACGGGTGGAAGAGGCGTGTGGGCTGCAGGCACAAGTGAAGTCGTGTGGCCCCTGCTCAAACGTGGAGGAACACGAAAGGGGCTGAACTACTGTCCCTCCTCAGCGCGATTTGGTCTTTTCGCTTGATCCTACGCAAAGATATCGCTGCGAGATCTTCCAATGGGATGTCTAACGCTGTGAGGAGACTTGGTTGAAGTTCTTCCAGCTCAACTGTTTCCTCATTGAAACTGGTTCAGTGAAATCAGTTATTTCCTCATATTTTTACCGGTTTGCAGGAAACTTTAGTATGGAAAAAGATATTAATTTTAGTACTCCTAGAAATTATAGAAAAATTACTTATTTCAGCCTTATGGAAAACATTATTATTAACCCTTCTTTTTATTCAATTTTAGAGTATTCTTATAGGATACTTAACATATTTGTACTGTAAAGTCCTTACAGCTAAATGAGGGTTAACAGAAATTTCTAAATGTATAATGTAGAATGCAAAGGTTAAAAATGAGACTTTTACAAGTTTGAAATGTTTTAAGTGTTGTGTTTTTTTTTTTTGTCCTACAATAACTGATTTTAGACGTTTTCTTCTGATCTAGGACTTGGTTATAGTTAAATCACAGTATTTCCTGTAAATTCCCAAAAAAGCTTGCTGTGCGCTAACTTCTACTGGGTCCTGTGCACAGGTGTTTGCAAAATCAGAATCAAGGTGTATATTGCCATTACCATGTTAAGCAGCAGTAATTCAACAGCAAAACATCTTCGCTATTATGGAGCTGAGTCGCCCCTGGACTTTCTCATTTCTTTTCCACTCTTCCACCTACTTATGTTTAATTTATGAAGGCAGCCAAGGGAGAAATCAGTTCTCTTTAGTATCTTTAATGTATTGGTATTATAGTTTATAAATGAATATTGCAGAAGATTTTACCAGGTACTAAGCAGTCTAGTGTGAATGACTGAAATGAGACAGCAGATTATCTCCCCCCCCTGCAGATTTCAGAGGCCCTGCATTGGTTTATACCAGCTCAAAATTGAGCTCTTTTATTTTATCTTCTGTTCGATTAGAATCCCATCTTCATGCTCTAAACCACGGGGGTTTCAACTTCCTGTAATTGATTTATTTCTCCCCCCCTAAGAAAACTGACTTCCCTGGCTAGGTCTGTTTGCTGTTGATTCAGTCTGGGGATCCTGAGCATCCCTACGGTGCCTGCAGGTTCTCAGTGGAGTGCCTCTGTTGGACCTGCAATACCAGTGCAACCCATGCAGGCTGGGACAGCTTGTTCCTCTGGGACCTGAGCCTCATCTGCCACTTGTACCTTCCCTTTAGGAAATGTCCTGCCAGCTGGGAACTCCTGTTCTACACAACAAGATTCAATGTGTTTTATTTAATGCATTTTCTTTTTAATACATCAGGAATACTTCTAATTATGTCTTTATTTGATTAGCATGGCGCACATATTAAAGACGCTAAACAGCTGGTTCTGGTGGGAGAATATCTGGATGCCTGTCAATGTCACATGGGCACATTTTGTAGACCGCGACGGACTTGTCTTTCCCAAACCACATCAGTTATATGCCACAATACCATATGCTTTTGTATTGCTGATTATCCGATTCTTCAGTGAAAGGTAAGAAACATAAATGCGATTTTATGCTAATGTTAATCCTCATTAATGCTAAACATTTAAAAAAAAAAAAATAGCTTTAGATAAGTGTTCTTACGTTTTTATAAAGGAGGATTAATTGGTGGTTTGTTAGAAAGATGTAGTAGAGATAATATGGCAGATGAAATATTTTCACTATTAGGGACGCGTGGCTGTGGTCCAATCTAGAAAGAAAGTATTTCTATCTTGCTTTTCTAGGACAGCATTTGAATAGTTCTAATAATCTCCTTTTGCTAGAGATACAAGTAATACAAAACTATTTGGGTTTCCTTTTGCTTTTTCTCCTTTGGTGGAAGGGTAGAGGTATCTGTCCTGCAAACCAAACCTCTCTTTTCATTTGGTCCTCCACCAGAATGATTGTGTGAGGCTGATAGATCCCAGGTGTCTAGCTGTAGCAAAACTAGGCAGACTGGACTGATCTCAAAGTTTCATGTGGATATTTTATGCAGATCTAGTAATGCTGATTCCTTTTTTTCTCACTTTGTCACTGAAAGATGGATTGCTTCTGCAGCTGGAATCTTATGGGACAGGCAGAAGCTGGCTCCACAGAAGAGCGCTACAAATATATTAATATTTGCAGTGCTTTGACTTATTTATTTGTGCCTTCTTTGCTTGACTTTTTTTTTTTTTTTTTAATTTTTCTCTGAAGAATGTGATTAGTATGTTTTTATAATTATTTCAGGATAGAATGAGGAAATTTGGAATGTCGTAAGTTGAACAGACTTAAAACAGAACCAGATAAGATCATTCATATTAGAGATCAAAAGTAATTTGGATCATATGTTTATAACCATTCACAGTGTCTCCTGAGTAAATGCTTGCCCAACTGTGTCTCACTGTGCTGCTATTGGAAATTGCTCATGTGAGTACTTATCCCACACATCTGGCCTGCAGTGAATCTGCCCAGGAACGAGGAAAATTGACCGCTGCTATAATAAGGAATCAATTGCTGGTATCAGCAGGAGTGAGGGGGGCTCTTTCAGAAAAGCCTGCCCGAGTAGAAGAGCGAAGCACTTAGAGTGCTCTACAGCAATTTGTATTGGAAAATGGAAGAGAAAGAGAAGCCTTCAGTCTCTGGGGCAGTTGTTGTGTGGCACAAGCTAGAGGTGGAAGGCGAATCCAGTGTCTTGGGCAGCAGTAGCAGAGTGAAGCGATGTGCTAAATGGCTATCTGCCACTAGGAGAAAGTATCCCAGTAGCAATCTTCCAGCTCACATGGAGACAGCATCTGATCTTGTTTCACTCTCCCTTAACTGTTGCTTAACTCCAACATGCCTCTGAAAAACACAAGGACACAAAAATCAAGATCTTGCCTTTAATTTTACATCATTTCATGACCACAAACTTGAGTCCTTGGGCCTGCTTTTTAACATAACTGCTAATATGCCATGGTTCTCTCTTGGGATTAGCTAGAAGAGATTCCTTTCTCTCACAGTGCACTGTCATATCCTGTGGCAGATTCAGAATTATTTTCTTCATATTCTGGCATGAGAATAGCTAAGATCTTGTAGCTGTGCTGTATTTTTAAAGTTTTTTACGGTATGTCTTTTCAGATATGTTGCTATACCTTTAGCAAAAGCCTTAGGTATAAAGAATGTAAGACGTGTGAAGCCACAGCCTAACCCTGTTTTAGAGAGTTATTTCCGGGAGTGCTCAAGACATCCATCCCAAGTAAGAATTCTCATTCTTTTAAACTAGTTTTGGTTTTGGAAAATCCCAAGTCTTACTGTTTCAATCAACTATCAACAATGACATCATGGGATGAGTTCCAGCTGATTGACAGATGACTTAATTTATTTGGGTTTTTGTTGCTGTTCTGCTGACAAGGGTATATGGCATCCAAACCAGAAAATATGTTTAAGATGTTTAATTTTCTGGCATGCTGTTCTAGGTTAGACTGTTAATAATATTTCTAGTGAAGATCCGTGTTCCATCTAACTCATTCTGCCTGGAGAAAACATCAGCTGACATCTGTTGTTGGAAAGTGGTATCGTATTTATTGCAAGCAGTAATACTGGAAATCTGGCATGGAAGCCTTTTGATGCTTTATATTGCCACATATTTAGTCCTGGCTTATGTGAGAAAGAAAAGCAATCTTTCTATTACCTTGCTGTTTGTTTTTTTAAAATGGAACAAGAAAAAAATAATAGTCAATATTTACAATCTCAGAAAATGAGGCAACTTGATTGTTGATGGGAAGCAGGTACTTTGCTGTGAATGCAGTCTCAGAAAGTTCACTTACCTAACTACAATTACCCAACAATTGTGGTGTTCCTACACTGTTTTTGAAAAAAAGAAGTACGTGCTTTCTCGTAACGAGGGATGCTGAGAATTACTGATATGTGGAACTTTGCTTTCTGTCCCTAACTCTGCTATTCTCTTATTGTGTCTTTTGCCTGATATCATCAGGAATAGATGTATTCATGTTCACATATGAGCTTTTCTCTATCTGGGCAAGTATCCCGATCTCTCCGTTTCACACCTTCCTTCTCTGAGTGCAATTTGACAATTAATCTCTGAAAGGAAGCATGGCGTTTTTATACTTGCCCAGTACATGGGAAAGATTCAGGCTGCCTCCTTTAGGTGTCCAGCTTGGGGACCAGCGTGCCTGAGAAAGCATGCAGAAGCCTGGCTGGTGATTGAGGGCATCTAGGCTCCGTTGCCTGTCAAAACAAAGTCATTACTCCTGCGTGGCAAGTGGAGAGCTCCCCAGCTGGCAGGATGGGCTGAACACAGAGGCTGTTTGCACTCCTGCCCTCCCTGGCAGCTGAGGTGCCTTTGCTCACATACCAGAGCTTTTCTCTGAGGGTAGGAGACTAACTGAACTGGACTTACCTCGGTGGAGGCAGTGCTTATCTGCATACTAGCCTTGCCGGGAGAAAGCTTCCCCAGGGATGAGTCAAACACTACCTCTGCTCCTGCAGCATCCCCCGGGGGAGGTCAGCTCACACCTTCAGCACTTGGGGATGGAGAAGAAGGGAGGAAGCCTCCAGGCTGCTGCACGTGGGGCACTGAGCACCCAGAAATGCAAGAGTCACGCTGCCTCTTGCATAGCACGTGCTAGCACGGCTGCACGGCAGAGCCGCTTCGCCTTCAGAGCACGTGTAAAGCAGAGACACCTGACTGTTGCACTTGAATGGCTAGGGGCATTTCTAGGCAATGCTGTAGCACTGATTTATTTTAACTGTCGAAAGGAGGCAGTCTGGATTTTGCTCAGTAAGATTAATCGACTTGCCCTGTACCATGGTAGTACATTGGATTTGAGAACAGAGCTCAGGTCACCTTAATTCCAGGCCTGCATCTTGCCTGTGAGACTCATTTAAATATAAACTGATAATTATAATTAGGTAAGATATTGGATACAATGTCCATGTGTGCTGATACATGGGGCTTCCCCCTTCCAGCCCAGCCTCTTGCTTTGGCAGTAGAAGTTGCATCTTTGAAACCAGAAAGACAACAGCAGTTTGCAGATTTGTACCTTTCATGCCTGCTTTATTTATATACATTCGAGTCTTAGATATCCAGGGTTTCTGTGAGTGTCACTCAAAAATCAAACCAGGATGCCTGCAGGGTAAACCCCCATAGATAGTTACTATTAGTGATATTTTAAAGTTAAGACCTTACAACAATAGGAAGCTGATCTGTGAACTACAAAATAAATGAAAATTACATTGGAGTGCATCTTGTTGTTAACACTATTCCATTTTTTGCAGTCAGAGATTCAAGGCCTTGCCAAAAAGTGCAACTGTACCGTCCGTTTGGTGGAAAAGTGGTTTAGGAGACGGCGAAACCTTGAGATCCCAACAGTTCTTCGGAAATTCCAGGAAGCTTTGTAAGGAAAGACAATGCTTGTGATTATTATGGGTTTTATTCTTTTGAACAAAATGATTGAGGTCCTCGGGTGTCTTTTAAGGGGGACTCATTTCTGGAAAGTTGGGTCTGTCTGACAAGGGTTTTGGTTTGTGGATGCACAAACAAATTGAAAGGATCTAGTGGCATTTCTCCAAATGGTGTGACTTTAAAAGATTAGGCTAGCAGTTACTCCTGAAAGAAAACCCTTATTTTACAGTTTTCTTTATTGTATAATAATGGACTTATTTGTAGGTTCCTGCTACATAGTGCTTAATGAAAACATGCAGAGAATAGGAAAATATTTTTCTGCCTGCCAGTAATCATAGGGGAACAAAAATGCTTACTCTTGTTTGTGTATGTACCCATGCTGTCATTTTGGGATGCTATTGTGTGTACGGAAGTCAATTCAAGAGCAGAAATCATGTTGTCCTAACTAAATGATAGATGTCACAGCTTGAACATGGGGTACTGTACAAAACATGAGCTTAAATATGCAGAGTGGACCATTGAGCAATTTTGAGTGATGATAATGAATATGTAAAAAGTTTTGAAACCTCCTGCATATGATTGAAAACTGGAAGCGCACTCAAGAGTCTGTTTTTTCACAAATGTGTGAGAACTTCCCCACACCTAAACATTTTACTATTTAACTATTCCAGTGTTATCTGAAATCTCATACAGATTTCAAATCCCCAGATGGGCATGGCTTTACTGACATAGCGTGTCCCTTTTGGGTAGTGAAATTAACTGTACCAGTGCTAAACACTTTCCTAATGTCCTGTATATTTGGATTTTGACTAGCATAATTACATTGGCAACAATTCACACGATTATAATATTTCACCTCTTTTAGTATAGATTAATTTAAGGAATGAGGGTTAAAAGTACAGCTACAAAGCTCAAAATTGAGTAGTTTATCAAGATTATTTTCAGTGTGAATCAATACGATAATGATTTGATGATGTCCTCTGTTGGGCATAAAACCAGCTGATAGGCATAAATGTGTCTCTCTGAAGCCTGAGTTGAGTAAACTCTCCTGGCAAAGTGACATCCATGGTTTATTTCTGCTGTTGTTTCCTGGATCAGTGAACTTTGTTTTACAAGTGACAATAAGATTTCCAGCTATTGATAAAAGACCTGCCTGCCATGGATGCATGTCTCTAGTAATGCACAGCCAAAAACTGAAATTAAAACTTGCTTGGCAGCTTAAGTGAGAATGAAGCAAACGCGTTTTTCTTGTGCAATTTTGTGAACACTGTTCTGTTCTTTGTCAATGAATGTAATTGGATATAATTCTCAAGGCAACAAATGAGGAACAGAGTTATTCCATGCCAGTAGTCAGTGTTATGAGCATTATGAAATTTTTGAAGGCCTGCAATCTCCAGGATCATTTTTCTGAATCACAAGGAAAATCTCATGAGCCAGTTCTAAACCATACTTAAGCTATTAGTGCTCCCAGTTAAGCAATGCTGGGGTTTGGAAAGCCCTTTGCATGAAACTGTCCCTGCCTTAAAAGATTTACCAGCCTTTAGCTTCACCAACTAAATAATTTTTTGTTAGACTCAGTTGGAGAGAAGATTCCTGAAGTTCAGTCAGAAAATCCCTTTGTAGCTGTTGTTCAGTGCTCTCCCTGGTGGCCAGATTCGGAGCTTAAAAGGCACTTGGGTAAAATTTGGTGAGTTTGGATGAGTTTTACTTTAGGTCTTGTTCACCGAATTCATAAAGAACCTTGGCTAAATGCAAAATGAGGTAGTGCTCTGGCAGTCTTGCACGTATAATGAGTTCATCTGAAGCACTGAGTGTTTATTACCAAGTGTGTTCGATATATATTTATCGGGTTGGGGACTAATGGCACAGTCTTGTTAGGAGCTCTGCGCTTGGGATCCAATTCAGAAAGCCGCTTACACTTTACAATCAACACGGGATCAGTCCTGCTCTATCCACTGGACGACTGGCACCTCCCTTGCTTGAAATAGGAGGCATGAGGGCAGCATCAGCCCCTGTCTAAAGTCTCTCCCATGCCATGGTGGTGTTTCTCGTAGCATCTCTTGATTAACTTTGAGCCAGGTATTCGTTGTGGGTTCCACTCTCCCCTTCCATTTGCTCTCCTAATTTCCACCGTGTACCTCTGAATTTTTCCTTCTGCGCAGTGGGTGTTCTGAAGTGTTATTTTCAAATCATCTGAGGAAAGACGCTTTAAAGCTGAAAAGTAAAACGATTGTTTATTACTGGTGTGTCAAGTGGCAATTTAATAATTGTTTGCTTGACTACTTCTGCAGGCGTGAGACCTATTATCTTGTCTAGCATCCGGCATTCCATGTCCTCATCTTTTGTTTTTCTTGTAAAATCCTGGCTCAGTCTTTGAACATCTCATTCTTTCACCTGGGATGTCTGCCTCCAGGTAATGTAGGGCTGAGAAAGGAGGGACTACTTTTACCAGACATCATCTTCTCTCATATGGCACTTCATTAAAGTTTGCCAAAGACTTCAATCTCATTTTTATACATCTTTCAATCCATTACTACTGTGTTCTTCTTGAGGCTCTCTCTCCTCCTTTTTATCAGATCTAGGTTTTCTCGGGGGCCGTTTGCTGCTCTCCTCTGGGTTATCTCTTGCTCTATAAAATGCTCTCACCGAGTTTGGGGCCACGTGCCTGCCTCTGTGATCATAACCTACCTCAGCACATGAAGTCCCTCAGTGTTTTTTCTACTGATCTCGAAGAGCTGCTCTGAGAAAGGTCAGGCTTGTTCCTGCCAAGAGGAAGAGTGGAAAGGAAGAAGTTTTCCATCACCTGTAGAAGTGGGAGTGGGAACGCTCAGGCTGAATCTCCAGCCGCACCCAGTCCCAGGGACAACACCTCCCACGCAGGCTCCAGAGTCATTACAATGCTGATTGCTGACTCCAAATCACAGCATCCTGTTCCGACATATATAAGCAACAATGTAGTTCGCTAAGATACGCAAGAACTTTTTTCCCTTTGACTTATCAGATCGGTGGTGAAGAACCTGGAAGTTTTATCTGACTTGATGGATATCCGTTTAAGCCACAAAATGCTTAGATCAGGCTAAATGCTGACAAACCTAGTCAAAGATTGAGGTTCTTAGTTAATTAAGACCTCTGTAGTAAGACATAAACTAACCCAGTAGTTGTTGTTAAAGTTTCGTGGGGCTCGCCTGTTTTCAACAATCGATGTTGAGAGAGATCAAAACAAATTAACTCAGCAATTGAAACAAGTCACTGTTGGTGCTCGCAGTGTTTGTTCAGGTTGGAAAGTATGTGCCACATGGCTGAAAGACCTTCTGGAGTCAGGGAACTGATAGATGTTCTTAACCCAGTGTGAATATTCTAGAGGGATTGATACAGCAGGAAATGTTGGTGTTATCATACATGAATTTTTAGAGATTTCATTACATTTGGTGTGACCGTTCTTTCAATCAGCTCATGCCTGGCTGGAAAATTACTGCTGTAATCACAATCAAGATATCTGTATTGTGATAATGTAAAATAATTTACTACGTTAGCAATTAGTCAAAGCTCAAGTATTTAAATATTAATAATTCAGATACAGTTGATATGTGACAGCCCTTAACGTAGAGTGTGAGGGCACATTTATGTGAAGAATGTCTGTGATATACAGCGATTGGTTGGAATTTTGGCTCAGGACAATATCTATAAAAAATATAAAGCTTTGTTCTTATTTTTTCATTTTAATTTTACAGCTGGCGATTTTCATTCTATCTTACCTCCTCCATTGCTGGATTTATATTTCTGTACGATGTAAGTTGATTTTTTGAAGGATTGATATTCTTATATTTTTAACAAAATAAGGACTGATTTCTAGATCTTCTTGAAGCCCACTGAAACACTCACTAGTTTCAGTGACTATTTGGGCTCAGATCTTTGATGTCTGTAATCTAGATGATAGGCTCCAATATGCACTGAGGTATTACTTAATTTTTTAAATTATCTTTTGAATGTCTGTGAAAAAGTAATTTATGAGTAATCAGTATTTTTCAGGCAAGTTTTAAGAATTCAGGCACATGGTTTTATGACATGCCTTGTTAACACCTACAAAGGTATCACATAGCCATGTTTTTCTCAAAGGAGGCCATAAACTTTTTCTGGCAGCAGTTTTGGGGGTCACAAGAAGGGTGTATTTCACGGTTATTCATTGAGGTGTTGCTGCTGAGTCAGAAGTTGGGAATAACAGAGAGAGTGATGCTTGTAACTATGTGAGCACTGCCTGGGGTGTCATTAATGCTTCTCCTGAGCAGCAGAACAGTTCTCAGCGTGTCTACGTTCATCTGGCTCTTCTCCCCAAACACTGTTTATCATCATGAACCAGTGATGTGTGTGGCTGGTAAACACAGCAAAATCTAATCACTGTGGCAACATATCTTGAGTAATTGCAGTAATAAAACACACACCCACTGCTTTGGATGATGAAATGATGAACTGGAACGTTTCAGGTGTCCTGAAAAGTAGCCAAAAAGCTGGGACCAATATAATAAATCTGAGATGTGAGATCCCTTTAGAAGTTGGTGGAGAACAGATATCAAGACTATAGCTTCTTAGCCTGCTCCACTTAGAGAAATTTTAAGTATTGAAGATTTTGAGTTAAGACAATTTATTGTTGCTCAGCTGATGAGTCTCTGAATCATGTGTCTTCCCAGAAACCTTGGTTTTACGACATATGGCAGACGTGGGTTGGCTATCCATTTCAGGTGAGCTTTTTGGCAGCGGGCCGTCGGCCTGGAGGCATTCCAGGTATTTCCCCACTGAAAGGGGTAATCCGCAAAAGCGCTTCTCCCTCCCACCGGGCAACACCCAGAGAGGTGTGGCACCAAAGCTGCCCTCCGTGCCTCCCGCTGACTGTTGCAGGGCTTCTCCAGGATCTGCCTGTGCTGCAATTCAGCCCTCCAGCCAGACCACTATTATTTCCACCCATCCCAGGTTACCAGCTGCGCACAGCAGATGCCATCTGTGTTACAGGTTTCGGTGCAGAACCCCGAAGCTTGCACCAGGCCTGGTGATGCTTCGAGGCACTGCAGGATAGCATTATGCAGAGGGTTGTGCTGAGCAGCTCGAGTGCTGCGTGCCTGCTGGGCCCTATTGCTCAGTGGTGCAGGCGGGGGGAGCGCTGCAGTCATTCGGTTTGGCATAATGCGAGTCCCTGCTCTGGGGATCTCTGCTCAATACTCTGGTTGTTCCAAAGGGCCGCGAGGCTCTTGTTTCTTCCTAAAATATTTTACTAACAAAGCCATAACAGATGGCTCCGAGCAAACTGCCTTCTTGCCCACCTGTCAGAGGCTTTTATGTGCCCCCCACTACTATTTTTATAAATCTGTGGCCCATCGCGCTGCCGCCTTTTTCCTGTCCTAGTTGAGGGCCAAGAATACAAAGAATCCTGCTTCCCAGCTGAGTTTTCTCAAGCTTCTCTTACCCGTGGGACCTGATAACCAAGCCCACTTCCTGCCACCCAGGAAACATATTGAACCAAGGGAGCAGCCGAGCTCAGCATCTAGCCCTAAGCAGATTTTAGCATAAATAGCTGACATTTTAGTCATGGGATGTGTGAATGTTTACAATGTTAATTGTTCACCAAAATGGAGGGCTTCCTTTACTTGCAGTTGTTTGTAATTAAATGCAGAAGTATTTTGCATGTAGTTCTCTGACAAAAACATAGGAAAAAAAAGCGTGCTAAAATGCGTGGAGGTGGGGGAGGAACTGCAGAAACTGAAAGTTTGGTCTGAGTAAAGGTTAAAATATTTGGCTCCCAGAACATCTTTCATAATAAAGACCAGAACAGAGGTTTGCTTAAAAAAAATAAACTAAGACTCAGCAGAGGAGTGAGGACAGGAAAAAACAAGTAATTTCACTTGGCATTCACGTTTTGCTATTCTCAGAGTTAACTTGTGTTTTTCTTTATTACAGACTCTGCTGCCATCCCAGTATTGGTACTACATGGCTGAGATTGGTTTCTACTGGTCTCTCTTATTTACACTTGGGATTGACAACAAAAGGAAGGCAAGTGGTCATGCGTGTTTGTAGCCGGAACCTCTGTTTCTGTGAGGGGAAGGAAAGTGTTTGTAAGGAAAACCACTGTCCTGATACCGGATTTGGTGCAGCCACACGAGGGCAGCATCAGTCCATCCCCGGCACACCTGTCCACAGCCCTGCTCTCCTGGCTGCCAGGGCACCTCTCTGTGTGTGACAAGTCTGGTTTGTCACTTCATCCACACGGAGACCCTCGAGGGCTCTGCTTGCTTGGTTCTACCTCTTCTCTCCTCTCCTTCGCAGGATTTTCTGGCTCATGTCATTCATCATTTGGCAGCCATTGGGTTGATGAGCGGCTCTTGGTGCGGCAATTACGTGCGTCTTGGGACATTGGTGATATTTGTGCACGATACTGCAGACTTCTGGCTCGAGGTAACCCTGACCTCCATCTTTTGGGGGGGGGGGGGTTTGGTTGGTGGGATTTTTTGGGGTGTTTTTGGTTGTTGCCCAATTGTGTTCAGTGACATTTTAATCTTTTTGCCACAAGTTTCATACGATCCCTTCCTATTCCCACAGAGACATGGCTTCACAGATTCATAAATTGTAAGATAAAGAAAGAGCTTTTACATAATGGTTTCAATAACATAAATTATGAGAAAAGAGCAGAAGAGAAGTTCTTCAGTACAGAATGGGGACTGGAAATACATCTGCCTCCATGGATTATTCCTGTTTCACTGTTAAAATTAGACCAAGATGTCTGGCCTAGGAACAGCTTGTCATGATACCAATTCTCAAGCAAATTTAGCAGCCAAAATTTTGGCTAGTTCTTCAGACTGGCTTAATTTTGTCAGCATTCACACCCCTGTGTTGACCCAAGGGGTACATCTATGTTATGCACTTCTGGCTGGAGATGCTCAAGCTGCCCCTGAACGGTAGATATCATGGGTATCTACTGGCAGAAGAAAAGTTCCTTTCCCTGGACTGAAGAAGTCCCTTCCCTGAACTAAGTAGCAATGTTTAGAAATGTTTAAGTGTCCTATTCTGCACACAGCACTGTGATCATAGAGACTTGCTACTGGGTTTCTTGGAAGACAAACGTACTGTGTTTCCTTCAGTAGAGTTATGTTGGTTTTATAACACCAAGATTGACAGCACAGTTTCATCATCTCTCTTGGTGGCAGTGCCCGTGTAAGCAGCCCTTGTAGGTTGTTGTCTCACTGTTCATTTCTGCTTCTGATAGTCTTTCCGTTGTACTGGCACAACTAATTTTGGGGTCATGCAGTTGGGATTGGTCCAGATTAAATGCACACACACATGTGTTTGCTGGGTTACTTTTAATCCTGAACTGCTTTGTGGTGCAGTTAATTGTGTGGCCTTACAAACAGCTGAACTGACAACTGGTGGGACAGCACTCTGATGGAAACTGAACTTGGGTACCAGAATAACTTAATTCAGCTCTGCCACTCAGAAGTTCTTCAAACTGCTGTTTAAAACTTCGGTTTGGCAGCTGGAGTTTTGTTCACACTTGAGAACAGCTGTTTCATTCAACAGTGCCCAGGGTGATTCCTAAATGAAGCACGGAGCGTTGTACAGTTCAGCTAGGGGAGAAGCAGTAATTATAATCTTCATTAGAGAAATAGAGACCGACTTTAGGATCTCCAGCTCTTAAAAAGGAGAAAACACAAGCTGAATTAGGCAGAGGGAAGGGTCAGTAACATGCGTGCACCAGAATGCCTGTGTGTAGGGGGTCACTGCTGCTCCTGGGCACGCAGATATGGCCAGCAGCTCCTCTTTGACTCAGCCTGTTTTGAATTTGGTACAGGAATGAGGGATTACCTCTGTTTTCAAGAGCACTTTGTGTTCTCATGACACTGTTATATTCTGATTGGAGCGCTGTTCTTCAGGCCTTTGATACAGAGCCCTTTCCTTTAAGATGAAAGGAGAAATATAAACAAAGGATCTGTTTTGATACTGCTTTATTAGGTATCAGTAAAGCGATTGCTTTACGTGTCAAACAGGGAGGAAATTTTCTTTCTGCTTAGGTGGGAGACGAGTCCTTGTTTACAAAAATGAAAAAAGGAACTTATTTCAGAGAATATTAGTAATATGTTTGATGGTTTTTATTCAATGCAGGCAGCCAAAATGTTTAATTACGCTCACTGGGAGAAAACCTGCAATACGCTCTTTATCATCTTTTCTATCGCATTCTTCATCACAAGAATCATCCTTTTCCCCTTCTGGTAAGCAGTGTATAATGTACTTACAGACCACTATTTCATTCGCATTTCCATTGAGAGGTTAGTATTGTCTGTGATGGGAAAAGGAAAGAAGTGGATTGTACTTTAAAGAGCAGAAGCAGAACCTTCATTATTGTTGGCTACAAAAGGCCATTGAGAAGAGTTGACAAATACTGCCATTTTCTTTGAAAATTTAAATAAAAATAGTTTTTAAATGACCCTCTTGAAAATATGCTAACCTAAATAAAGGCTTTTCTGTATTATTTAGCTTATTTTCATAAATTGTAGTTAAATGCTACAAGCTCCTGCATTTTTGAGGGCATTGAGCTACTTAACTAGGATAAATCATTTTCCCTTTCATTCCATCCTTCCTGCGATAGCTGCAAAGTCAGACTATAGTGTAAATCCTATATGATTGTAGTTAATTTTTTGTAGAGCTTTCTTTTTGCTACCTAGTTCTTGAGTAGTGCCTTGCCCCACTCACATGAGGAGCATTCAGAAAAGTTAAGGTGAACCAATTTATTTATGAAGTCAACACAGATAAATCATAAATTGCTAAATACTTGCATGACTTTGGAGTGCTATGATTTAATCTCCTTTGGAGTATCCACACGGGTGCTTAATGTGCTTAATGCTTAACATGTTTAGCTTTTAAAAGTATTTAATGTGTTTCACATTCACAGTTTTTTGACTTGCTCTAGTTTGCTATCATGCCCTTCCCTGCATGTGGACAAACCCTTAGAGACTCAAACTAGTTAAATTAATAGTTCTGAACATTGATCAACACAAGGTTTTAATTTCCTGTAGTACTTACTTTCAGAAATGCTGATGTCTTTTATTTTATTATTTTTGATGAACTATACAAATGATATCTAATCATTCTGCTTCACTGAATTTCTCGTTCTTGAGTTCTTGAGCTTAGAAGCAAAACATGATGAGATTAAGGGGCTTCAAAAAGCCCCAAATAATATAGAAATAGTGAAGTCTGAAGATGGACAAAACAGATGTTAATTAACAAAAAGCCCTGTTGCAAAGCCTGTAGGATTTTCTCTGGAGTGTGGATTTCAGATTAGAAAGAATTTGCATTAAAAAAATGTCATAGAGAAGCTCTGAGTTGCATAGTATCTAGACCACACAGAGCTCAAGATGTTAAAAAATGGGATTTTTTCTAACCTTTCTTATACTTTCATGCAAGATTCAAATTTCTCATCTTCTGAAGTCTATATTTCAACAGAGATGCATAATCTAGTTAAGGCAGGGCTTGTTAATTAATCTGCCTTCTTTGCAGAGCTTTTTAGTGTTTTGTGGAAATAATTAATCAGTTTGTAATGTGAAATTAGAAATAGTTGTAAATAGCATAGAGAAGAAACCTTGCACCATAACAGTGACCTTTTATTTTTTAGGATTCTTCGTGCCACGTTGTATCAGCCTACATACTACTCCACGACTCCTGTCATAGCATATTTTTTATTCAATGGGCAACTACTGATCCTTCAAGGCTTGCATTTATATTGGGGCTACTTAATTTTCAAGATTTTGAGAAGGTTCATTTTCTTAAAGGTAAGCCATTTTGCTTCTGCAGAAAGACATGTGAAGTATCAAACAGATGCTAATACCTCCAGTATATTTACTTGGAATTTCTTATTGTTTTCCTGAACTTTAATGTCAGTGTTTTTGACAGGGATCTACAATGTACAGAGAAGTTCAAATGAGCTTTCTACCTCTCATTGTCACACCGAAGGTCACAGATCAGAATATCAAAACTTCAGCTAGAACCCTTTTTTTGCTTTTAATTGATGTTTTACTCTGATAGTGAATGAGGTATGAGCTCTCTCAAAAACTGATACCTTAAGATGGTGCAGAACTCTTTAGAAATCCCTGTGTTCTGAGTGAAAGCAATCTTTTCTCACTGGACTTCGTAGTAACATACCAAAAACTGAGAGGAGAGGTGAGTGATGAGATCTTTAAATACTGCAGAAAACTTGTAGTCAGAGTTCTTCAGGTTTGTTGAAATCTGAGGTCAGCTACACTTAAACACTGGGTTTGGATTAAGGAAACCATATGAAGCTGATCTGGTATACATTGTGACACAGTGAAATACTGTCATGTTCAACTGGAGTAGGGAAACAGTGCAAGTCTGGTGCTGCCATAATCTGCTTTTACCTTGTACAGAAAACTCATGTGGGAAAAAGCTATAAAGAGAACTTTGCTGCCATTCAGGTCTTGTTTGATTGCCTGAAGTAGTAACATTTTCACCAGGTCTCTTGTCATAAAGTGCGCAGTGTGATGCAATATAGAAAAATCATCTGGCAAAAAGCATTTAGAAAAGGACTTTGGAGAATGATGTCTTTTACTTTATTGTTATTTTTTGATGAACTATACAAATGATATCCAATCATTTTGCTTCACTGAATTTCTTGTTCTTGAGTTCTTGAGTTTAGAAGCAAAACATGATGAGATTAAGGGGCTTCAAAAAGCCCCAAATAATATAGAAGTAGTTAAGGTTAAACTTAAGTTGTGCTACTGAAAAATGATACTTCTTTTGAGGATCAAGGTGCAAAACTTAGTAGAGCTGACTCTGTCCATTTATCAGAAGCAGTTAATGCTGTGAAGCGTCTTGAGGAAATAGAAATATTCCTTTCTACCTGTATTTGCAAGAAGGTGTCCAGATACAGTGGTGAAGAGGACATTACTAGGCCAGCTATATAAGGCCATTCTGCCCTGCCTGCTTATGTGCCTTTGTAAGGGGCAGAGATGTTTTATTTTGAGATAAGAGCTTTGTTTGTATTAGTCATTGCTAAAAAATGGGAAAGCATCAAGCCTGCATCCCTACCATGGATTTTTGATTCCTTATACAGGTCTCTGAGAAGACGGTTTCCAAATAACATTTTTACAGTGGTAGCAGCAGCAGCCCCAGCCCTTTTCAGTCCGTATGACTTCAGCTGGCTTGCATGTGCAGCCTGTTTTCCATAGCGGTGGCAAACTTGGCTGCGAAAACAGCCAGTGCCTCCAAAGCTGTAAAGGCGACGTTGAAAATAATGGTGTTTGCAAGGCAGCATTTTTATACCAACATATTTGTTATAGACATACTCCACACAAATAGCTGTTGCTATTTTAGTGAAATACCAGTAAACCATCACCCTCGTATTAATAGGGTTTTGTTTCTCTGCCCAAGACTTTTAAGTTTTCATTCAGAAAACAAGCAATTTTTGACATTTTTCTTGAAGCAACAGTTAGCTACTTCAGATGGAAAAATGAAGTCATGATGTAACTAGGAGTAGGGACTGATATTGTTGTTTAACTGAAGGAAGCTCTCTGAGCATAGCGAGGGTGTAAGGAATCTTTTCAGTGCCCTCTGAGCCTTGAGTAACCCTGGGTTGTTGGGGCCACTGGTGAAAACTGCTATAGTCCAGCAGTTAACAGCTCCTAGCACCCGTCCAGGAGCAGGTGTCTCCCCTGAGTGTATCCCTCTGGACCGTGTCATCACCCAGTTTGAATGTATTTATTGTCAGTGGGAAGTGCTGCTGTCCCTTGTCAAAGGACGGGTTTAAGGACTTGTCTGGGTCAGGCATGAAAGGTGGGGCTCGGTGGAGAAGGTAAACAGGAGGGCTCAAGTCTCCAGGATGTCACCAAGTCCCCTTTGCTGTTATTCAGAGGGTTACACAGAGCTGTGTCACATCTTGAATCTAGACCCACAGCTCTAAGCAATACTCTTATCTCCTGACTGTGGCAAGAGGCTTTGTTAAAGGCAGGAATTAATACAGAAATGACATTGAGTTACTGCAGCCTTGTGAGTTGGCAGCTTCTTCCATGCTTTACTCTTCCCTCTCAGGAAGGGGATGGCTTTGGTCTGAGACTGGCTGGTCAGAAGCTCTTCATCTCGGATGTCGCCTCCCCTCTGCACTAATAAATGGGACAATTATGTTCAGTCCTTGGGGATAACTGCTCAGCTGACTGACCTGCTTCAGCAAAAAAAGAACGTGGACTAAAAACCTTGCAACTTCCCTCCTCCCAAATAATGCAGCCAGAGATGAATACAAATGAAGAAAGAGGAAAGAAGGGAGGAGATGATCTTACTCTGTCCCTCTGTGTCCTGTTTTCTCAGGCACGGGAGTCTCTGGCACTGGAGCTGGTGGCACAGAGCAGCACTGCTCTCCAAGCCCATGGGACTTGTGCCACCTTTGCCCTGGCCCAGCTCCCCAGAAATGCCCTAACAAGGGGGAGTTCTGCATCGACAAGCTAAGCTGTACGCAGCTACTTTGCATTAAGAAGCTTTTTATTTTTTATGGGGGCAAACCTGAGGGGACAGAGGTATTACGTTTTTCAAATGAAAGATTGTTCTTCTGGCAAATACAAAAATACCCAAAAAGGACCCCAAATATTCTTTCTCGTGTGACATTTTGTGACCCTGTATATGAGTAAGGCATACGCATGTAAGAAAAGCCCTTCAAGGTCAGACCTGTAGCCATTTATCTTAGATCAGCTCTGCTGTGAGAGGAGGGAGGACATTCTTCAGTGTGATTTCTTTTCAGGTTAGGTCAGGCAATTGCAATGTTAGCTGCTGGCTGCCATCTTGATGTCCAAGGCCTTTTGTTGCTAGGAAACTCCGTGTGTTTCTGTAATATTGTTCAATTACATGGTTAAATTACCCACTTGTATCAAGTTTCAAGCACCACTGAAACATGTCTAGTCATCATGTCTGCACATATGAGAATATTTTAGGAAAATTGAAAAAACATATAGAGAAGTATGTACATATGCACTGATTTAAAATATCTCGCCAGGAAAATCCCATGGAGATTAAACATTTTATTTCCAAGGTCAGAAAAAGGGAGTGAATGACAGCAGCTTATAGCCACATTATTATGGCAAATTAAGATGTAAAATACATGTTAAAACCATTACTCACTGAGTTAAGGTTTTGGGACTACAGTGCTTAAAATATTGAAAAATGTGTAAGTTGTAGGAAACGGGCATGATGTCCACATGACTCAGATACTTCAAGGCTGATGCAAAGTCCATCAATGGCAGGAGGTAATGGCAGGTTTTTAACAGACTGTAATGTCACCAGGAATATGTTTTCTTTCTCTCTTAATTGTCTTGTCACTGTCAGGCTGCCTTCAAGTAAGGCAATGAGCTTCTTACTAACGGTCACTATTACTTAGGAGTCATCAGCTGCAGTTTTATTTGATCCACTGTGGTTCTTTCCTCTTCCTGAAGCAGAAGACACCCTGCAATGCTGTTACAGCAGGCTTTTGGACTTGTCACCTTAAAAAAAATCAGCATGTGCCCGCTATGTATCTTCAGTATTGCTTTGGTATTTTGTACTCAGTAAGCAGGCTTTATAAAGATTTTTGTTGCGCATATCCTTGTCCGTGGTTTGTTCATTCCTTATTTGGTCCAAATTCCCAAGGGAACAGTGAGATTGTTCAAACGATGACTAATGACAGAGTTAGGGGTAGCTGAAAACGATAAGAAAATACTATTTTGGGGCTGTAATGAGAGCTGTGAAATACTTATTATGTTACTTCTGCTGTTTCCAGCAATCATTCTTTTACTCCAGCATTTTGTTCAGTCTGAGGATTTCTCTCATACTGAGAAGTCTCTGCCATTCAAGTTAACTTCCTTTCCTTCATTCTTTCTTATGTTCGGATGCTGGGATGCCAGCGCAGAGTCCTTGCCATGAAAAGTGGTTAGCCATATAAAGGCTTCTTAAGTTACTCTCTTTTCTGTATCAAAAGAAGATATACTACTCAAACTGTATCCCTAAAAGTGTGCCCACGGACTAGAATACTTGATATGTTTTAGTATTAATGTGTAGGCAAGACCTGCAAGTCCTTTGGAACAGAGACATAATATGCTCTTATAAAACATGCCCTCACTACTTATATTGAAGAATAATGACTCTTTACACTTGCAGAGGTGCTGGCCTATGTTACTTACTATCTATCTTGTGAATTTATCTCTTTAGGGACTTGCTATAACCCTTTGTGCAAGTTTTTAAATTAAGTTATACAGTTCCCAGAGGCCATGCTACCTGCTCCTGACAGATGCTTTTAGTTGAGTTTAGCCTGAGGTTATTCAGACTTATCTCAGCTTCTGCAGAACTTTCCTGCCCTGAGATCTTTCTGTTATTTTCCCTTTTACTTTTTTGTGCTTGATCTGTTTGCATCAAATAGAACTTTTTAATAATTAATTTGAATCTTATTTTGTAACCACATGGGTCCTGGGAGTATGGAATTTCAGTGCTGAACTCGGGTGAGAATTTTCTTGTTCAACAAACAGGCCCACAGCAGGTTGTTTAAAGCAATGGGTTTGGTGGTTTTGGTTTTTTACTTTTTTTTTTTTTTTTTTTTTTTTTTTTTTTAGGTCCTTAAACATTTCCCCATGGAAGTGCAGACTTCTGTACAACAAATTTAAGCCCCTAGCACTTTTTTTTTTTGCTTTTCTTAGTTACCTTTAGAATCAGATCTGTATCCTTTAGAGTTAGACCATGGATCCACAGTGGTTAAAATCTACTGTTTTACCTTTATGAAATGAGTCACTCCTCAGCCTGGGTT